AGTTAAATCCTATTTGGCACTTCTTATCATGGCAAATGAGAAGCCTTGGCTGCTTTTTCTGAAATGGCCAAGCATGTGTGTTTACATGTCTAAGCACAGTATATGGACTTTACACTGTTCATATATGAAGCACTAAAGCCCTTACAGTGATGACTCCACCACATAAAGCATAGAAGATGATGAATTTATATTAAAACTTTCATTGTATAGTGTTCTGACAGAAATCTAAGCTTCTTGCAATTGGGTTAGATCTCGACAGGAGAAAACTTCGATGCCATTCCACATCAGCTGCTGAGGAAGTACGTGGGATACGCCCGGCAGTACGTTCATCCAAATTTATCTCCAGAGGCTGCGCAGGTCCTCCAGGAATTCTACCTTGAGCTCCGGAAGCAGAACCAGGGAGCAGACAGTACCCCAATCACCACGAGGCAGCTGGAGTCGCTGATTCGACTCACAGAGGTAAATTCAAGCTGTAATACTCCAGGGATTGAAAGCAAAGGGGTTATTCCTAAGATACTTCCAATGTCCTATGATTTTTGACAGCTTATTCACCACTATGCTTTTTTTGTTTTGTTTTTAAAAAAAAAGTGAGAATGCAAGAGGACTAGAAGTGCTTGAGAGCTACTGTTGCTTAAAGCCTCTTATAAAATAAAATAAAACACTCTTGAGGGGGTGGAAAGGGAATCTATCACTTTCACCAAAAGGAGAAAAAGTTGGTACAGACAGGAACAACCTGCTGCCCTTCCTCAACTTAGAATGCTGCTGTTTTCCCTAACACTCGGCCTTAAAAACACTATTTGTGTTCTGCTGCTTCACAAGAATACAGTTAAAAAGCAAACAAACTCCAAGCTACAGCCTAATAATGGAAGTATGCAGGAGGTGACATTGTAGCACTAACAAAAAAAAGAAAAACCTTCCTCTAAATCCTCTAGGCTTTGGTTCTATCTCTGCTCCCAAAATTTGCACTTGTTGTAGAGTGACTGTAGCCTTTTTTCACATCAGCTATAATATATCTTTAATAAACCTTTGTGGATTTTTTTGTTTGTTTGTTTTCTTTAAGGCACGATCAAGGCTGGAATTAAGAGAGAAATGTACCAAGGAAGATGCTGAGGACGTAATAGAAATAATGAAATACAGGTAACACACACTGCTTTAAAAATAAATAAATCACAGATTTGAAATTCATTCAAAACTTTTTGTTATCATAAGCAAACAGAGTGAAGAAATAACTTAATCAAATTTAGGCCCGTGACACTAATATTTGGATTTGTCTTTGAAAGCTGACAGCAGCTCTAAGTTGAATACAATTGCTTAGGCCTTTATGTGATCACAGTGGTTGTGTATATCCATGCACAGCAACTTAGGCATGAGGCTGCTGAAGGTTTTTTCTCTCTCATGTTATTACTCTTTGTTGTTGCAGCTGAACAATTAAAAGTTTAAAAGCAATTTCGATGAATGCTTAGTCTAAGTTCCTTAGACAGGGACTTTCTTGATAGGGGATGGTTTCCTATGTGGCTTCTGAAAGCCTTCTCAAGCACTTTTAAGAAGCAAATACACATACGTTTGCTTTTACCTCCTGCTGATTTTTTTTTTTTTAATCTGTTTTTAGCATGCTGGGAACTTACTCCGATGAGTTTGGAAAGCTGGACTTTGAGCGTTCCCAGCACGGGTCTGGGATGAGCAATCGGTCTCAAGCGAAAAGATTTATTTCTGCCCTGAACAGCATCGCAGAAAGAACCTACAACAACCTCTTCGACCTGCAGCAGCTTCGGCAGATTGCAAAGGACCTACAGATCCGGGTGAGTCTGGAAATCAGGCGTTTCTTCAACAGCAGACTGCAAGAGCAGTCAAAATTATTTATTGCAAAACTGGGAGTAGCCGAGGCACATCCGTTGTGCCTCTTTGCAGTGAACAGAAATAACCAATTTGACGCTGCTTTTAGGCTGAACGGTCTTCTCGACGTGCCTTTGTAAGCTTTACTGACCTCACCAGCTGTTTGGCAACAGCAACTCCTCGCACTAGTAAGGGCTGATTTTGCTCCTGAAGCTGCTCCTTGACAAGACCCTGCTTTGTTCTGTGAAAAGCAATGTTGGTTTCAGTATACTTTAGTCCCTCTGGCTCCCCAGAGGGCACACCTACTTTTGTTCCCAAATTTATTCTTGTGGTGTCCCTGCTCTATTTCAGCAGTGCAATGATGCTTCTGCTTGACCTCCTCTGGATGAAATACTGTGTTTGGGGTTTTCATTCCTGCTTCAAGCATCCTAATCTTGTAACTTGATAGGAACATCATGTAGGGCACGTGACCACAGAAGTATTTTACCCTGTAATTGACTTGCATTCTGTATTTGGGGGGGGGGGGGCTTCAGCCAAACAAAAATACTGGGTAGCTAATTCTACTTTTTGCTTCGTGTTAAAGAGTTTTAAGTGCCAACTTGAAACCAGATTTCAGATGTAATGAGTGAAAAGTAGTGATAATAAGTTTCATAAAGAGAAATTAATTATGGGAAGTGGTGCTGTTCTGTTACCTGGTGACCCTACTTGGGCCTTCTGGGGCAAGATGGCTTCGGTTTCTGAACTTGTTGAACTGTTGACTGTACACAAGTCTAGATTTGTTTTGAGTCCTGTCTGACAGAACATGGTACATCCAGCTCTCTTCTCCCACGATCATCAGTAGTTCGGTGACTACTTAAAGTTAATTCAATTAACTCTCAATCTCCCTTCATACAGAGAATAAGTTTTTGCCCATTCAGAGTTTCATACCTGGAAATCAGAGTTGTAGAAATCAGGCTTTTCTTTGGTAGGTATTTGTGTTACAGAACTTGAATTTCTGCATATGGAACTGCATACTTTGTGCATAAGGAGAGAACACAACTTCTGTGTAACACTACAGTAAAAACAGTGTGTAAGTAGAGCACAGAAGAATGGGACTGAGGGGTGTGCCACCTCCTAGTAGGTCAACAGTTTGCTGAGGAAACCAGCCTATTCTTAGCTCACTTTATTTCACTGAGTTGTTTTAAATGGTTTACGGTGCTTTACATCAGATAAGGTGTCATTCTCCAATTTGACATTTTTGTCTTTGTTATCTCCAGGTATCTGACTTTGAAAGCTTTATTGGATCCCTGAATGACCAGGGTTATCTTTTGAAAAAAGGTTCAAGAATTTATCAGCTTCAGACCATGTGAAAAGAGTCACTGTGACGAACCTTCCTGGGACAATATGGATACACTGGACTGATGGACCTGCAGCAGTGAGACACTGAACTGAACTGCAGCCTGGCACTGCTGGCTCTGGGGTTGACTGAGGCTGAGATTTCTCTTCAGACACTGCAGTGCCCCCAGGCTTGTTTTAAAGCTGCTCAGGACAGACTGACACATGGTATTGCTGCCTGACTCATCCTGTAGGGTCTGCTTACCCAGAAGGGACTGTGTGGGACTAGAATGTACCTCATCATCCTTGAAGAGTGGGAAGTGTGGGTTTACATTGACATTTATTACAGTGCCATGACAGATGTTACTTCTAAACCCAGAAATCTTTGATGAGCAAATGGTGTGAGCTGTATTTTCAGCACCGTAGTTCATTAGAGGAATTTAAAGTGTTGAAATGTTTCAAAAAAAGTTGGGAACCTTCATGTTGAGACAACACTGTTTTTACAGCTATTACCAAATGGCACCTTACTGAAACTGACTTGATTTGCTGCTTTGAAGTTTGATATTTATTGGTCTTTGAAGCTGAGATTTAATTTGAAATGCAAGTCTGATTTAAGAAAATATCCTTATTACAGTATTTAACATGTAAAACAGGAATTGGATTTTGACTTTCATTAAACTTTAGATATGACAAATATTATTTGTTCAAAACTGTTGTACAGTGTTCATGGCCACTGCAAGGCATATAACACCAAACAAGTAATGGATGTCTTTGTGTAACTGTTCCTGACACAGAAGAATGTGTGTTCAGCAAGAGCAAAGTGCTGAGTTGGATGAAATCAGAATCGTGGTCTGGTGCAATAAAATAGACGGGAAGGCTGCCTTAGTGTGAATCTACCCCAACATACCTGAATTTGAAAACTAGTTTGGCAGATGAAATACTTTTAAGAGAGTTAAGAAATTGTGGTTCCACACCTGAACTCTCCAGGGCCAAGCACTCACTTCTGTCCAGGTTGTGGTTAATGGCTCTTTTGGGAAAAAAAAAAAAAAAAAAAAAAAAAAAACAGGAGCTGTCAGTCTGTCTGTCTACGAGTGGGAGTATGGGGGCAGCAGAGGACACACCTTGAAAACTGGGACTTAATCCTGCAGTAGAAGCAGCGTGCTGGATGAACTAATCGGAAGCAGAGGTGTTAGATACCGGTTTTAACCTTTGCCAGCGCCGGGGGGGGACACAGGAAAGGGCCTCAGAAGCGAAGAAAGGGCTGCGCCTGGAAAAGTAAACTCTTCTTGTGACTCTCGAGATAAAGTAAACGGGGGCAAGGGAGGGCAGAAGGCGAGTGCCGGGAACAACGAGCCCAGTCCCGCTCCCTGAGAGGTCTCTGGAGGCAAAGCGAGCCCTCCCCTGCCTCCGCCGGGGGCTCCCGCGGGGACGGGATGAGCCCGGGGCTGCCGCCCCGGACAGCGCCGCGGGCGAACCTGGGCCGGGAGGTAGCGGGGGGAAGGAACCGGGAGAAGGGCGGGAAAGCAGCGGGAGAAGGGATTTTTTTTGTTTTGTTTTGTTTTGTTCCCGGGTCTGGATTTTTTTCGAACCCCGGCGTCGCCCGCCTGCCGTAAAGCGCGCCGCCCCCGAGGAGGCCGAGAGGGGCTGACGTAAAGCGCCGCAAAAAAAAAAAAAAAAAAAAAAGAAAAAAAAAAAAAAAAAAAAAAGAAAGGCTGCGCGTGCCCGCCGCCCCTCAGCGGCACACGCGCCGCGCGCGGCGCGGATGGCGCGAGGCCGCGCGGGGCCTGAGGGGGCGGCGGCGGCGGGGCGGGCGTAGGGCCCGCGTAGGGCCCGCGGGCAGCGCCTCCCGCGCCATGCTGGCCGCCGCCTGCCTGGGCAGGGGCCCCTCCTGGGCGCTGCTCCGCGGCGCGGGCCGGAGGCGGCCGCCGGCGGCGGCGGCGGCGGCGGCGCGGGGTGGTGGGTGCGTCTTCGGCCTCCCGGCGTGCGCGGGGCCCCCGCGCCGGCCCCCGCGGCTGCTGCGCGCGCCCCCGGCCGCCGCCGCCGCCTGGCGCCTCCTGAGCGGCGGGGCCGGCCCGCCGGGGCCACCGCCGGAGCGGCGGGTGGCGGGGCCCTACGCGGAGCTGGTGCGTGAGCGGGACCGGGCAGGGGGGAGCGGGGCGGGGGCACCGGGGCCCGGGGGTCGTTTGTGCGTCCGTGCGCGGAGCTGCCCGAGGGGGTGCTGCTGGTTCTCCCCAGCGGGAGCCCTGCTCTCCCCTCTCCTCGCTCTCCCCTGCGGGACACGGGTGTCAGACCAGAGGCCAAACTTTCGGCGGGTTTGGGTCTCTCCTGGCGGAGCGTTCTCCCGTTAATGTTTAGCAGGTGGGGGGCTGTGTCCCTGTGCCTTGCGCAAGCAGCTCCCGGGAACTTTCCAGGCCTTCTGTCCAGTTCTGCTCAAAGCGTTTGTCGTGATTGATCCTGTCGTGTGCCAAACTGGGGGGGTTTGCCTTCCTGCCCTGAAGTTTATGAGTCAAGTTGGAGTGTTTTCCTTCCTGCTCTGAAGATTCTTTGCCTTCTTGCTCTGCAGTATGAAAACCCCTGGACCATCCCGAATATCCTGTCCATGGCGCGGATGGGTCTGGCGCCGGTTTTGGGCTATTTGATTGTTGAGGAGAATTTCGATGTTGCACTCGGTGTCTTTGTTCTGGCTGGTGTGACTGATCTGGTAGGTTCGCCTCGGTTTGGGGGCAGCCATGGCTTATGGTGATCCCACTGGAACTTAGACCCCAGTGTAGAATGGAAAGGGATAAAATAGATGAGGTTTTATATTTGTTGTTCTTTAGGAATGCTATGTATGTCCTTTGTGACAGTGCAGAGGGAAGTTGCAGGTACCCAAAGGGGACTTAATGCTGGTGGAGCAGAGTGGGGATTTCAGGGTTCCCTGACCCGCTCCAGGTGGGCATTGTCCAGTCCGAGCACCTGGGGGTCTGTTACGATGTGCAGCTGTAGCTGGTGCATCCATCATGACAATAATTTTGTGAATTTTAGAACATCAGTTACACCTCTGTTTGTGGTTTGGGGTGTCTTTGTTTGGTTGATTTGGGGGGAGGGTGTGTTTGGTTTTGTTTGTTTCTTTTTCTAATGAGAACTGAGTATGTTGAGAGGCTTCCAGTGTCTGGAATGCAGTGAGGAAAAAAAAGCATGATGCAAGTGTCAGCTAACAGACACCATATTTCATCATAGTTAAACTAGCTGTTTTATGGGATGCCGTTCATTAAATACCTCTCTAACAGTAACATGTATAAGGTGGTTTTGTTCTTGGTTTTCTAACAGAGAGATGTTAAATATTGTTTTTCCCAGCTGGATGGATTTATTGCGCGAAACTGGGCGAATCAGAAGTCAGCACTGGGAAGTGCTCTTGATCCTCTGGCTGATAAAATTCTCATCAGTGTGCTCTATGTAAGCCTAACTTGTACAAATCTTATCCCAGGTGAGAAAATATCGATTGCATGTACTACATAAGGTAAAGATGATTTTATGTATTGTAATATTTCTATTAAATATTTAACATCCCCGTAACAGGCCCCACGGAAAGCATATGCTGGCCCCATAGAAAAACAACTGCCATTTTCAAATGCGCTTTCTTTAAAGCAACAACAGTTAGTAGTTATGTTAATTAATTTTTTTCTAATAGACTGGATTGTTTTAAGACTTAAACCCCTTCAGAAGTCATGTTAAAAATCTTCAGTCGTGCATAAAACCTGTTCGGAAGAATTTGGGAGTGGTTATTTTTTTCTTGCTTTATATTGTATGCTCCTTTGCTTGTGTTTTGTTTTTAATCATGGACATGGTTTTTCACTAGATCCTGTTGGCTTGATTTTTCAGTTTCACTTACTTCCATGATTATCCTGCGGGATGTAGCTCTGATTGCTGCTGTTTTTTATGTGCGATACAAAACTCTCTCTCCACCGGTAAGTGCATTAAACGAAACTGTTTGAACATGTAATCGTAATAAAAAATAAATTAATAAGCCTTTAACAGAGCTTTGACCGAGAGATTTTCATCTTAAGACCTGATGGGTGCTCAGAACTTGGGTGTATACCCTAAGATGTAATGCTTGTTCTTTTGCCAGATAGATTTCCAAGCAGAACAGGGTTTCATAAAAGATGTTTCATTATGATGAGTCAGAGCTGCTGATAACTTTTCTCCTAATGTGTAAATAAATCATATAGAAGAGCAGTGTAATTCTCTAGTGCTACAGTTATATTTTCTGTATCAGGTGTGTCAAATTGAGTGTACTACTACTGCATTTTTTATCTCTTCTCTCCCCCAACAGAGAACACTCAGTAGGTACTTTAACCCCTGTTATGCTACTGCCCAGTTAAAACCAACATTCATTAGCAAGGTAAGAGTAGTAAGTCATTACAAAAGATAACTCCTCAGTACTTGGGATGTTGTGTAGTTTGGAGGGAGGGGACAATTTACTACTGCTGAGTACAGTTTCAAAATAGTGCACATCTTGACTTGGTCACAATTCCCATTTTCCTTTTTTTTTTCAGATGAATACAGTGGTTCAGCTAATTTTGGTGGCAGCTTCTTTAGCAGCTCCTGTTTTCAATTATGTGGACAGCATATATCTGCAGACGTTATGGTAATTTAGCTTTCTTTGCTTTTTTCCTGATAATTTAATGTGCTTGCAAAGAAACTAGTAATTGAGATTATTCTAATTGTGGGGAACACAAAAAAACTATGCCCATATGATGTCATATGCCTGAATTTTTACACCTTTGTTCTTAAATGATGCCGGAGATAGATATTTATTAGTGCTTAATTTACTATGCAAGTAAAAAGTAGTCAAATGAAACTAGTTAAGATCCAGAAAGAATAGCTCAGAAGCAAGTCTTCAGGTGTACACAGGCAAAGCATAAATTCAGATCAATAAAAAAGAAAGGAATGGGAAGAAGGGCTGTATGGATTCTTCAGTTATTCATGCCCTAAGTGTCCTTGAAAAAGCAACCTTGATATCAGTAAAAATAGACATGAAGTGTATTCTTATTTTTGCTTTATGCTGTACCTGCTATATTGAAATCCAGGCTCCTGAAGCCTCTTTGAAAAGCACATGAAGAAATGGTGATTCCTGCTAGATTGTAGGAAGGAAGGGGAGAGATCGAATGAAAACCAGCATACAGGAGTGTCCCTCCTTAGACAGTGCTGTTCCTTTCACTACTGCCCTTGGAGACCAGAACTGACCTGAATCTGAGTTGTAGCTGACTGCAGTTATTTTTCCTGAGCAGTTAAGTAAGAGCTCAGAACAAAGAGGCTGAACAGCAGATACCAGAATTACTTAGTAATTTAGTTAAAGGAGTGAAAAATCCAGTGTTGCTCTGTCTTCTAGGGAAAAAAAAAAAACAAACAACACGAAACCATATAAACCAAAACCACAAAACCAAAACAAAAAGCGTTTAAGGAACTAGGAACCTTGATCTTAACAGTCAGTGTGGTTTTTCATTCTGTTGGAGAAACAGATCTAGGGTTGTATCTATGAAAGATGCTTATCTTGCTGCTTGTCTGGGACTCTAGGAGAGTTACCATGCTGTGAATAATGGAGAAATGTTGTGTGTAATTTGCCAGGGTCCTCTGTAAAAACTTTCAAAAATGTCCTGTCTGAGTTCTTGCCCAGGGAGGGTTAACAAAAGGGCAGGACTGTGGCAGTGACTCACACCTCAGTGGGTGGCATCAGCCTTTTACACAGAGGAGCACTGATACTTTAGGAATATGTATGGTTGTCAGCCAGCATCTGGGAAGGAAACAAAACAGGCTGAAGCAGAAACTCGTGCTTTAGCTTTGGAACTTGGTAAAATGGTAAGTTCAAGTCTTGTGTGGTTTGAACGCTCCCCTTACAGTCTACCAAGGAGCAGTTTCTCACATCAGTCAGTTCTCAAGCTGGTAAAAGTTATGTAGGCTGCAAATGCTGAATGTTTTGTCTTCCTTCTCTAAAACAAATGCTAATATGGTAAAAATTTGTCTTAGTATGGAGTTACACTGAAGCATGCAGCTTAGTGCTGGATGGCAGATCCTTTGTTTGTCTAATACCCCATGCTGAATTTCAGCACAGAAACTGTAACCTGTGGAGCTGTGTAGTGAAAAACAGGGAAGACACTAAAAAGAAAAACAGTTGTTGTATTGTGCATAGACTCACATGACTTACAGGAACCGTTTTCCCCCAAGGTGCGTCACAGCTTTCACGACGGTGACATCTGCCTACAGCTACTACCACTATGGCAGGAAAACAGTCCAGGTGATAAACAACAAATGAAGTTTTTATGGAAGCACAGGGACTTACCAGCGTGGGCGGTGCTGTGCCTGCAAAGATGGTTGTATTGCCAGCTGAGTTTTGGATCCAGCACTCTTTGTTTGTCTGCTTTAAACCATGGCATCACAGTGAAATGGAATTTGAACATGTACTGTGTATATATGTAGAGAGAGACTTTTCAATGTATTTTTAATTTCTTTAAAAATGGGGTTGTTTACAAAAACAAATAAATAACATTCTTAAAAACACAGATCACATGTTGCTGCCACGTGAATAATTTTGAATAATTTTGTACTGTTGTTGAAGTCAAAATACACAGTTCGCACCAGGTTTTTTTGCCATCTTCATACAAGGCACTGAATACGCTGAGATTTGAGAAGAAAAAGCGATTACAAGAGCAAATTTGTCTTTGTATCTCATCCTGAGTCAGTAAACCAGCATTGCTCATTAGGACCTAATGACATACCTCAGCTTGCAGCAGAGGAAAACAGTATTTTCAGAAATTTAAACCAGAGAGAAATCTTACTTCGTGTTCCATGCTGATAGGGGTAAGCCATGAAGAGTTCCTACCCTGCTCCCTTTTCTTTTTAAATATGCAATGGTGAGCTGTGCTGAGTTTAGGTCTCAGAAGGCTCAGCAGGGCAGTGAGGACTCTGTACTCTAAAGGAATTACGTTTTTCATACTATATATCTATTTCTAGTGATTGAAAGAAGCCCTTATATCTCCAGATTCTTTAAATGATACCGCTGTAGTATTAGCAGAAGAAAATTTGTTGTAGACATCTCTTGAAAGCACACAGTGTCTTTTGTGATAGCATATGTTTGTATATACAAAGCATTTTAATATTTTTTTATATTTAAACTTGTATAAAGCAGTGTACAGAGAAAACACTTGATCTTTATTAGTACCTTTGTCTTAAATATCAGTACCTCTGTTCCCATGTTCCGTGATCAACACTGCGAAGGGAAAGAGGGGAAGTTTCCGCAAAGTAGAGGAGTATTTAGTAAAATGGAGCACTTTTTTTCTTGACGAAACGGTTCGAAAAGCAGAAATTTATTGTTCCTAGTCGGGTCAAAGCTGTTTGGTTCTGCTTAATGTAATGGGGGTTTGGAGGGGGGGGGGGATGGTTCCTTTTACCTATCGCATGGAATTGCCCGGGGCTGGTCAGCGAGGTTGCCAAGTTAAATGTACAACGGCTCGGTGGTTAAATAAAATTCGTTTGGGCGCTCCAGCCGCTGGCGTGTCTGGTGTTCCATGGTTACAATCCGCTTCCCGGGAGCGAGATCCATGCCCTGTGCCCGCCGGGCGTGTGCGGGGCGGGGCGCAGCGCGGCGGGGGCTGTCTCCGCGCGGCCGCCGTACCCGGGCGGGCCCGCCCCGCCCCGCCCTGCCCGCGATGGCGGCGCCGGAGCCGCCGCAGCCGGAGGGTTCGCGGCCCCTCAGCGCCCTCCTGAGCGGCATCGCCCAGGCCGCCTTCCACGGCAACGCCGCTGTCACCGACGAGCTGCTGCGCGGGCAGCTCTACCCCGAGGCGCCGCCGGAGGAGTTCCGCGCCCTGCGCACCAAGATGGGCGGCCTCCTCCAGGTACCGGCGCTGAGGCGGGGAAGGGGCCGCGCTCTGGGTGGGATCCGCTGTCTCGGCCTCCGGGTCTCCCCGGTGGGGCTCTGGGGGCAGCCGAAGCCGCGGGTGCTGCCTTTGTGGGGACAGCGGCCGCCCTCAGCGCGGGGGCGAGCCTGGCCAGCCCCTCCCGGCTTAACCCAGCCCAGCCTGTCCCTGCGCGGTCCCTCCGGCCGCTCCGCAGGAGCAGGAGCTCCTCAGCCCCCCACGCTGTGAAGGGGTGAAGGCGCCACTGGGGTTCTGCAGCCTTGCAAATAAGTACCCGCTACTTTCTGAGGAGAGCTGCGGATTTCTCGCCAGAAAGCTGTGTTTTGGCGGAAACCAGCCGTTTTACACAGACAGCAGTTTTTGGGTTATGTGTAAGACAGGAGAAGATATTCTTCTCCCTTAAGGGATCTTTTTTTGAGCTCCGTTCGGCGAGAAAAGAGCAGTGTGGTGTAGTGTAGTTCCCGGCGTCTCGATGTGGCTCAGGGAGCCTCCAGGTGCTAAATCCTTGGGTGGCCACTGCCACCTTGTGGGTGAATCCGCGGCTCTTTGGCCTCTTTGGATTCATAAACTCGGTCGGGAGTTTTAAATGTAACTGACAGATTGGGAATTTGATGAGGATGCTGGCGCTGTTTTTTCTGCTTTTATGGAGATTCCGTGGTTCGTTTAATGATGAGGTTCGTATGATGCCCTGAAAAGCGTCCAGCAGAAAGCTGAATCATAAAGATTTATTCTTGTAGGACTGGAGACTGGTTTTGTCTGTGGGCTTATTTCGTTCCCTCCTCTCAAGTACAACTCTTATTTGAGCACTGTTGAGATGTCATACTCCGGACATAATGTTACTTCAGAAGACACAGGTGATTAAAGTTTATAACCCATTGTTGTAAAATAGGCATATAGCTTAGGAGGATGACTGTCTGTTGGGGAGAGGCTTTCACGTTTCCTGTGTGCTGCTTCAGAAGCAAAACTAGTGGTGGTTGTGGTCATCGAGGTCACTCTCACCTTGCTACGTAAATTGGCATCTCACTGTTACCAGGTGTGTCTCATGATGGCCAGCGCTCCTCTCATCTCCTTAGGGATGAAATTCCTGGGAAATTACTGAAATTTATGCAGTTCAGCTTTAAAGATGAACTTTTGTGCTAAGCAATACGCAGACTACTTTGTACAACTTCATGTGGACCGTGCATGGATTTTGGGGTGCTTATGCCTGGCAGGTAACTGGAAGTAACACCCGAGTCCTGTGGATACTTTTAGCATCTCTATTCTAGAGCATCCTCAAGAAAAAAAAAAATCTTTTGGCCTTCTGGTCCTTTTGAGGACACCTAAATTAGATGGGATGGATAATGCCTCATGCATGTCTCTTGAGGATTTTTTTTTTTTTTTTCTGACATCCATCTCCTTGATGGTCAGAAGCAGAGAGATTCACTGCCCTCGTGACTTAATTGCTGTAGTAGTTCATGTCTTTTAAGTAGCAAACACAGATCTGTACCATAAATCAACCACTTGCTTTTACTGGAGCTGAGCATAAATAAGGTAGAGGACTTTCCTGTTCCCTTCTGCATTCCACCTGTGCAAAGCATGGCACCTGTGAGAAGTATGGAGATAAGTAAGTGACACTAAAGTGTCAAAAAACATTTAAATATGAGGTTTTTTTCCCCTTGGATTATGTACAGAGTAGTGCTGGTTTTATATTTGTAAAATATGTCATTATGATCTACTTTTTACAGATGTTTCCTTTGCTGGCCATAGAGCTACTGAATGAGCATGAATCATCTGAGCTCTTTCTAAAATGCCAGATTTATCTTGTAGTGAAATCATGTTTTTTATTAAATTTACTTTTTTTTTTTTTTTTTCAGTCTTATTTCTTGTGTGGAAGGTAGAATAAAGCCCTAGGAAGGCTGGCCCTGGAGAACTGTATGATTTCAATGTTGTTCTGTCAGTTGTTTCTCATCCCTCCCAGCCTTCTGTCCCATAAGGCCACGAAACATTGAGAAACTGGGGGAGATCAGCTCTTGCAAATTCTCACCCCCAGCTTTTTTTGGTTTGTCAAATATTACTTCATCGTGATTAAAACACTAAATTTGTCTCCTTCTTACATAAGTTTAATTTACAGTATTAGTCCACTGGTAACAGTTACTTTACAAGTGGAGTAATCCCACTGTTTTCCTTTTGGTGGCAGTAAGTTATTGCATTTATTGAACGGGAGCATTTGCTGCTGGGTTGAAAGTGTCCCTAGTTCACTCTTCTGCTTCAGAACAAACTGTACACAGGCTAAATGAGAATAAAAATTTCAATGTGAGGACTATAAATATTTTATTATATTTTATTCCCCCCTCCCCCCTCAAATACCGAGGATGTTGCCATCTGTAATAAATGTCCTGCTATGTGAATGAGTAAAATATTAATCAGATTATATTAATAATGTGTGGGAACCAAGAGCCTGATATCCAGCATATAAGATGCACCTGAACTCTGTGTATGCACTTCATAACATTCACTTGCCCTCTTCCATCAATGGTTTTCATTAGGAATCATGCCAGTAGTTCTGTCAGATTACTGTGATGTTTAATTTCAGTCGTTTTCAGCCAGTCTGGGTTACTGGGCCTTGCTGTGCCATGGCACACACAGTGTATATAAGTCCCATCTTGAAGCTATTTCTGGTGATTGCTTTTCTTCATGCCGTCAGAGAAAAGCTGTTGAATGAGAAACCCTTTGATCCAAATCTTACCCAAAGGCTTGTAGGAGAAAAATTAGTGCAACCAGTGGATAAAATCTCTCGGTGTGTAAAATGCTCTGGAGTTGCATGAGCAAATTGTGGGTGCCTTGGAAGCTGCCCTGTGCTCTTACCGTATGTTGTCCCTAAAGATTGTCACTTTCCTGCTAGGGACTGTGCTCCTTTCCCTATGAAGTTGCTGTTGTGACCTCGAGAGGAGTTCCCAAAGCGTTGCTAGCCTTGTTTGAGAAGGAAGGGACTATTTGATCTTCATAAAAGGGATCTGCCCTTACGTGAAAAATCAGGAAAACAGTTGTAAGGTTCGCTCAGTTGTGGGGGATATAGAGGCCTTTGCATCTTCTTCAGCAGGATTTCTGGGAACTGAAACATTTCTGTTAAGGATTTCTGAAGCAATTTCTGCCAACTGGTAGGAAATAAATGACTTCTTGCATTTTCTAATTAGGGAAGAGCGTTTCTATTCTTCCCTCTCCTCAGATGCCTTGTGATTCCTCAAATACGTGGGTTGAGTCATGAGCTCGGGAGCACTCTGCAGTTGTCCAGGCTTCTGCAAGGCTGAGAGGCAGAACAGCTTCAGTTCAAGGCTGAGATAAAATAATTTTGGAAGAGTTAACAGGAGAGGCTGCTTGATTTCTGCCATTTAGAGTTGCAGTTGTGCCTGCACCTACTAACTAGAGAGAGAACTCAGTGACCACACTTGTTCTTCTTGATTCAGGTAAAAGAAAAGAAGTTTCTGGTATAGCAGTGCCAACTGTGTCCATATGAGCTGCTTTCTACCCAAATGTGTCCTTTGTAACTGTTATACTTTTCACTCTAGCAAATGACTGTGCTTACTATGAATAATTGTTACTGGGCTGGGTGAAAATGTATTAATAACTTTGCACAAAATTTTGGGAGGGAGGGAGTGTCTAGTGTG